GGCTTTTTTCTTTTTGCTTATGTGGTGCTGAGGAATCAAACCCAGGGCCTCAGGCATGCAAGGCAAGCACTCTACCACTGAGCCACCTTCCCAGCCCCCGAGCTGGCTTTGAACCATGATCTTCAAATCTTAACTTCCTGATAGCTAGGATTACAGGTGTGAGCCACCAGTGCCTGGCCCTGTCATACCCTTTTGTTAGCTCTCTTGGTGAACCCAGGACATAGGTAGCCTTCTGACTTCAACTCCACAACATGGCCAGGCTGGACGTGTATCCTGTGTCCTGCTCCAGCAGTGATTAGGTAAGGCAAATGGGACTGAAAGGACTATACCAGAGCCCAGATGACCAGGCAGGCATTTGCTGCCTTTGTACTTGAAGCTATAATCATGTTAACATGTAGAATCGGAGCATAATGAGCGGGCACTGCCCACAGAATTTCAAACAGGCCCTACCAACCCCCAACCCAGGCCACATAAATGTCTTTTACAGTTTCCATGATTGCTTTAGGGTGATGCATTATGGGGATGTAACTCCCAAGTCTTTGCTTTTGGTGGTCAGCCACAGGAACAGGCCCAGGGAGGAGGGATCAGGCCAGCTGGGGATGTAGGGAATGTGGGCACTATGGCCCTGTGAAATGCAGTGGTCCAGGAACCAGTCAACCAAAGGAGGTGTGGGAGTGGGCACTGCTCCTGAGTTCCTGGTTCTGTGTGAGCTCAAAGGGACTCTGGGCCCTCTGTGCTGTAGGATATGCTTCTCCCAGGAGGGGCGAGTTGCTGGGGTCAGTAGGGGTTAGCAGTACACCTGGAGCAGGGGGGCTCCTGAGGAGTCTGTGTCGGTGCCTTGGAAGGACGAATCATGGCTGGCTGGGTACCCTGGTTGGGAGAGGAAGCAGAGGCTCAGAGAGGGGAAGAAGCTCATCCAGGGCCCACAGCCAGGGAGAAGCCTGCTGAGAAGGAACAGAGCAGGGCTTGAGCCTGGTCTTCATCCTGCCCCGCTGACCCACTGTTTTGACCTCTGAACCTCAGTATCCCTCTGTTGAAAGTGAAGTGACCCTGTTCCCAGGAGATAGCACTAGAAACTTCTGCCCTCCTCCCTGATGACTGGCTTAGAGCTTGGAGGTAGAGCACTCCCAGCTTGTCTCTTCTGAACACCTGTCCCATGCTTTGAGCTCACAGGACTGAGTGGGCATATGACTGCTCAGGTCCCTTGTCCCTTCCTAATCCCATCCTCACCCACCAAGAGGAAGCTGGTAAAGAAGCTCCTAGAGTAGTCTCCCACCCTCTGCACTCATTAGGTCCAGATCACACCTGGGGCTCCATACGGCCTCAGCTTCCGGGCAATAGCATCTGCTGTCGTCTCCTGAGAGATCTGCACTGTTAGTTCTAGAGAAGGAACATGAAGGGCAGTGGTCAGTGTGATATCCTCTCAGTGCCAACCCCTATTCCTGCTGGCAGCTCCATGGAGGGGCCACTCGCCCTGGCAGGGCCAGAGGAATAACCCTTAAAATAACACAAAGCAACACACCTAGCTACTCAGGAGACAGATCTGAGGATCGTAGTTCAAAGCCAGCCCAGGCAGGAAAGTCCATGAGATTCTCAACTCCAATTAACAAAAAAGCTGGAAGTAGAGCTGTGGCTCAAGTGGTAGAGTATTAGCTTTGAACTAAAAGGAGCTCAGGAACAGCACCCAAACCCAGAGTTTGAGCTCTAGGACTGGGCCCTCCCCCCCCAAAAAAATCCACAAAGCTGAAAGAGATGGGGCTCACTTGGAACCCTAGCACTTAGAAGACTGAAACAGGAAGATGTGACTCAAGGCCAGGCTGAGCTATCAAGGCCCCATCTTACAAGGCAGATAAGCTCTGTCTATGTGTATGTGGGTAGTCCTGGTCAGAAGTCCAAATTCATGTGCCCTGGGGTCCTGCTATACCCAGGTTAGCCTGCAGGTGGTAGCAGGCGAGAGAATTCTTGTCAGTTGAGCTGAGCAGACAGTGCAAGGGGGCTGGCTCCTGGGGTCCCAGCTCTTTGCTTCTCAGACCTCACTGGGAAGAGCAGATGGGAGTTGGAGGAGGAAGAGCAGGGACTTACTAAGGGGCCAGCAATCCAGTGGCCTGAGCTTCCCCCACTGCCCCCCTTCCTCCACATCCTCCAGCCCACCTACCATCCTGGCTGAGCCCGGAGCCCACCATGGTCTCATGGCCACTGTCAGGGGCGGCGGCGGCGGCAGGGGTGGCAGCTCTGGCCTGTGGGCGGGCACGGCTCTTCCGTGTGCTGATCCGGATGATGCCCCGCACCAGGCGGCCCTCGGCATCCTGCTCGTCCAGGTGGTAGTCCTGGGTGATGCTATTGATCAGGTCAGAAATCTTACTGGTCTTCTCCAGGAACACTGTGTCAGACGTGCACTTGGCCAGCTCGTCGATCTGGTGCACGCTAAACAGCTCTGTCAGCTTCTTGAAGATGAGCACGTCGATCTCCCGGCTGGACATGGAGCCACTGCCCATCTCCGGCAGGTCCAGGTCTGACTCGTGAAAGGAGTAGTACTCCTCCGAGCCCCGAGGGCTGCTGGCCAGGGTGCTGGGCAGGCTGTGGCGCATGGGAGGGGGGTCAGCAAGTGGCTCCTTGCAGCAAGAGTCCGCATCGGGGGCTGGGGAGGTGGCGCTGCGGTAAGGGTACACCGGGATGCCCTTGAGCTTGACGTCAGGGTAGCTGAAGCTGCTGCCCATGGAGGACTTGAGGCGCTGGCCATCCCGGCGGCTGGGGGGTGCCCGGTCAGGGCTGGGGGGCACACCATTGTGCTCCTTGGCCCAGTGGACCTCAGCAGCCCCCTCGGTGGAGTCCTCTGCCGACAAGCAGGGGCTGCAGCCCCGTACGCAGGCCCCGCAGCGCTGCAGACAATCCCAGCAGCGGCGGAAGCAGAAGGCAGCCCGGCACCAGTCCCATCCCCAGGGGCGCCAGAGCAGGCAGCAGGCCGGGGGCTCAGCGGCGGGCTCCGCAGAGCCAGAGATGAAGGTGATACTCTCCGGCCCATGGTGGCCAGGGTCCTTGGGGTCTGGCCTACGGGTGCGACGGCCAGGAGGAGGCTGGGGTGGCTTATCATAAGCCACTGGCCGCTCCCAGGGTCCCAAGCATGGTGGCCCAGATGATGGGCGGGGCTGTCCTGGCCGGGGCATGGCTTACTGCATGGCTTGCTGCAGCCAGGCACCTGCAAGGGAGAAGCCAGGAAAGAAGTCAGGAGCGGCGGTCAGGACCATGCTCCTGGACCGAGCCACAGAGCTTGAAAGCTCTGAAAAGCTTGTGACTGGTTTGGGCCCAGTATGCCATACTCTCATTTATCTTCCCAAAGAGAAAGTTCTCTATGTAGTCTAACTGGATTTCAAAGTTTCCTGAACTTGTCATCCACACATCGACTATTATTTAAAAAAAAAAAAAAGTCAAGAAAATAACAAGTGTTAGGATACCAAGAAATACCTTTGTGTATTGCTGGCAGGCTATAAAGTGTAGATTACTGTGGAAAACAGTGAGGTGGTTCTTCAAAATTCAAGCCCACAGGCTAGGGATGGGGCTTAGTAGTAGAGCACTTGTCTAGAGGCACAGGACACCCCCAAATCGTCTGACTCAACAACTCCACTTCTGGGTATACAGCCGACAGAACTGAAAACTGCAACTTGAACCAAGATATCTGCACATCCATGTTTACAGCAGCATTATTACAGGAGTCAGAAAGTGAGAACAACAATGATGAATGGATAAACAAAACTGGTATATGGGGCTGGCAACGCAGACTAAGTGGTAGTGCACCTGCCTAGCAAATGCCAGGCCTGAGTTCAACCCCCAGAACCACACACATGCACATGCACACACACAAACACACACAATGGACCTTGATATATGAACAGGCCCCACGACCGGAACCAAAAAAAAAAAAGAGCAAACACTATACTATCCTACTTTTGTGACATATCTAGCAGTCAAATTTGGAGAGACAAGAATAGTATTGTGATTGCCAGGATTGGGAGTAGAGAGAAATGGAGGAGTCAGTATTGTATGGGTATAGAATTTCAGCTGAGGAGCCGGGCGCCGGTGGCTCACGCCTGTAATCCTAGTTACTCAGGAGGCTGAGATCTGAGGATCGAGGTTCAAAGCGAGCCCGGGCAAGAATATCCATGAGACTCTTATCTCCAATTAACCACCAGAAAACCAGAAGTGGCACTGTGGCTCAAGTGGTAGAGTGCTTGCCTTGAGCTGAAGGGACAGTGCCCAGGCCCAGAGTTCAAGCCCCAGGACTGACAAAAAAAAAAAAAAAGATGGGACATGTAGAATATATAATACATTCTAGGAGTCAGAGAAGATTGAAGATTATGTATTGGTTTATTTGGGAGGGCCTTTGAGATCTCAGTCCCTTATCCTTTTATCCCTGCCTTACTGATACCAGGTCCTTTTTGTTTTTTTTTTTGCCAGTCCCGGGGCTTAAATTCAGGACATGGGCATTGTCTCTAAGCTTCTTCTTCTTGTTTTTTGCTCAAGGCTAGCACTCTACCACTTGAGTGACAGCACCACTTCTGGCTTTTTCTGTTTATGTGGTACTGAGTGATACCAGGTCCTTAAAACAAGTGCTAAGTGAGAAACTGGGCAGCAGGGTACCTGTGATCTAGTTTCAGTTTTGGCGTGTATAACCTATGTGCCACCTTCCCAAATAGTCACCATCACCTCCTACCCAAATACCATCAAGGCTCCCACCCGCCATCTCTATTTCCTTCTGCTTGTTGCAGTCAATGCAAACTTTTTTTTTTTTTTTGGTGGTACTGGGGTTTGAACTTAGACCTCAATGCTTCCTAGGCTGGCACTCTACCACTTGAGCCACACCTCCAGCCCTGTTTTTTGATGGGTATATTAGAGATGGAGTGAAGCAAACTTTTCTGCCCTGGGGGGCCTTGAATCTCAATCCTTCAGATCTCAATCTCCTGAGTAGTTAGGATTATAGGCATGAGCCACCAGAAGGTGGCTTGGTGTGAAAAAAATTTAAAAATGGGGCTGGGAAGGTGGCTCAGTGGTAGAGTGCTTGCCTTGCATGCATGAGGCCCTGGGTTCGATTCCTCAGCACCACATAAGCAAACAGAAAAAAGCCGGTAGTGGCGCTGTGGCTCAAGTGGTAGAGTGCTAGCCTTGAGCTGAAGAGCTGAGGGATAGCGCCCAGGCCCAGAGTTCAGGCCTCATGACCTGACCCCCCCAAAAAAAAAATGGTTCTGGAGCCAGGCACTGATGGGCCACACCTGTAATCCTAGCTACTAAAGAGCCTGAGATCTGAGGATCACAGTTCAAAACCAGCCCAGGCAGGAAAGTTCATGAGACTATTATCTCCAATATGCCACCAGAAAACTGGAAGTGGCGCTGTAGCTCAAATGTCAGAGCACTCGCCTTGAGCTGAAGAGCTGAAGGACATCACCCAGGCCTAGAGTTCAAGCCCTATGACCAACCCCCACCTCCCAAAAAAAAAAAGGATTGAGAAGGTGGCTCAGTGGTAGAGTGCTTGCCTTGCATGCATGAGGTCCTAGGTTCAATTTCTCAGCACCACATAAGCAGAAAAAGCCAGAAGTGGCACTGTGACTCAAGTGGTAGAGCACTAGCCTTGAGCTGAACAGCTGAGGGACAGGGCCCAGGCCCAGTTCAGACCCCATAACCTACCAAAAAAAGACCCAAAAAACAAAACAAAACAAACACCAGATTGCACATTATTTAATGGCATTATATCAATTTTGCATTTCCTGAATCACTGCAATTATTTTTATTTACTTTTTGAGACAGGGTCTTGCTTTGCAACCCGAGTTAGCTTTGAACTTTCAATCCTTCTGAATGCTAGGATTATAGGCATGTACCTTTTAATTGAGCAAAGGCAACATTCTTGTTCTTAGGAAATAAATACTAGAGCGTTTAGGTGAAAGGGACATGTATCTCAAATGGCTCAAACTGACCAACTAACACACATCTAGAAGGCATGTGTGTATTTGGGGTGGATGAGAAGATACAAGAGTTCTTTTTTTCCCATGACAATTCAGCCCAATCCAGCTCCACTCAACTCTCCTTTTCTGAGGTCCTTGAAGATCCTGGTCAGGTGGGGGCCTCTTGTACTCACTGCTTTAGGATAAGTCTATCTCCCCAAGGCCTACAGACCACATCAGCCTTCTGTCTCCGTGTCTGCAACACGGTCAGGTTCAGACAGGGCTTTAGGATACTGACACATTCTATGCAACTTCAGAGTAGAACCAGAACCACACATAGAGAAAAAGATCTAAGCTGACCACAGTGGGGAGAATGTCTTACAGGACAGGGTGTGTACAATCCGATTTTCAAAGGTGTACAAACCAAAATTGTAATAAGCAACTTTAAAGTTCTCACAAACAGAGGTACATGATTAAACATTTGCCTTGAGTCAGGCATTGATTGCTCACACCTGTAATCCTAGCTACTCAGAAGGCTGAGATCTGAGTCTCGTAGTTCAAAGCCAACTGGGGCAGGAAAGTCTGTGAGACTCTTATCTCCAACTAACCACCAAAAGGCCAGAGGCAGAGTAGAAGAATGCCAGCCCTGAGCACAAAACCCCAGGGACAACACGCAGGCTCTGAGTTCAAGTCCCAGAATGCATACACACACACAAATTTGCCTCCTTGGATGATTGGGCATGCATCCCATAGAGGTGCTTGCCTAGCAAGTGTGAGGCCCTGAGTTCACCAATACTACGAAAAACAAGCAAACAAACACTGTTGCCTTAGGCATGGATTCATTCAATTAACAAATACTAGGTATGGGAAGGGCCTAGTGTGCTCAACACAGTGTTAAATTCTGTAGGGACTGTGGTAAAACAGAGGAACTCCTGAGTCTCAGGATTTGGCACTCCAGTAAAAGCCACTATTGGTGGCTTGCATTGCTTTTTGTAATAAAACAACTCTCACTATCCTGTGTCATATCATCATTCTGCAGAAGCACACAGAGGTTAAATAAGTGGTTGAAAGCCACAGTTCCATTTGTACCCAATTGGCCAGGCCCAGAGTCTCATACATCCCTCGCTCAGCTCTTCCACTAACCCACACCATTTGTTACTTGGGAGGGAAGAGGTAGTTGTGCCAGCTGCATGAACAAGCCTGTACTCTGGGAGGGCCCACAGTGGGGGCTCCAGTCTTCCAGACCCAGGCCTTGATCCACAGGATGGCAGTGTCCACACTGGTAGACCATGCTGAGCATTTAGGTCCCAGCTTTGGGAAAGTATTAAGGGTGACTGAACAAGGGCTGGGCCCTTATCTCCTTTCCCACCTCCAAGGCTTTAGTACTCACTGCTGTTGATTAAATTCATCCCACATATATATGGTTGGACCCAGTGCTGTGGTAAGTTCTGAGGAGACAGCCGTGAATGGTTCAGAAACAGGCAGCCCAGGACTTCCATCTGAATAAACCCCACTTATTCTCCTGTGAGGGATTCACTCCTCTTTGGGGCCCCTCTCAGATAAAAGACTGCCACTAATTACTTTCAGGCTTTCCTTTCACTTTCAAGTGCACTTAATTCTATTTACATTAAAAACAAACAACTGTGTTGTGAATCAGTGAAGTCTCCACTTTATGGAAGAGAAGTCAGAAGCTCAGCCAGCTTTCCCAAGCTGGGAAAGGCAGGATGGTACTCTTTGCCTGCTAGACTTGGAAGCCGGGTGCTTTGCTCTGGACTGCATCCCCAGTATAGGGAGGATGAGGTGGGGAGAAAGGAAGAAAGGTCTGGCCTCAGTTTCCCCCTTGTGGAAGTCAAACATCTCCCCCTTCCTCAGCCAGTCCTAGAAACACTGGTCACTTGACGATTCCCGACTCTATTTGGATTCTTGGCCTCCATTTCCTCATCTTTTAAAATGGGAAGACAGACAGACAGAGAGACACACACACACACACACACACACACACACACACACACACACACACACACACACACACACACACACACGTTTAAATAAAGGCACCACAGGCCGGTCCTCCAGGGTTTGGGGGATTCGGTCAGCCCTCCCCGACCTCTCTGCCTTAGTTCCCGCGAACACGCCCACCCTCGAGGGTGCACGACCCCACTCTCCCCGGGCAGGTGGCTGCAGCAGCCTTGCACTCCGGGCCCGGAGGTGTAGCCCCCCCCCC